AAACAAACTAAAACCATAAAAGAATTTACTTGAAACACAAACATTAACTTAATATGTTATCTAGTGCTGTAAAATTGATTATTTGCATCCAAAATAAGAGTTTGTATTTCTGTAATATGTGTGTGTGTACTGCGTAATTTATATCTATATATAAATACACATACATAAATATATGCAATATATATTTATATATATACACAATACACACATATATATTCATATTTATATATAAATATATATTGCATATATTTCTTGTATGTATGTGTATTTATATATAGATATAAATATACGCAGTACACACACACACACACACACATATTATGTAAATACAAACTCTTATTTTGGATGCAAATAATCAATTTTACAGCACTAAGATTTCAGCTAGTTCCAAAAAAATAAAATAAAATTGACAAAACACAATAAAATCACTAAAACTTTAAAATTACATTGCAATAAAGATATTATATAAATATGTGTGTGTGTGTATATATATATATATATATATAACATTTTTTAATTTTAGGTAGTTTCCAAATAAAATTTCTAAAACTAAAACTGAAATAAAAATTAATATAAAGTATATAGACATAAAAAAACTATTAAAATTAAAAACCTTACAATTAAAATAAGAGAAATACACACTATTCTTATATTAGTATTATATTTATTAGTATTATATATATTGTCCCTTATACATATTCTGTATTTTATATACAAGAAATAAAATACAGAATACATTAATGAGTGTTAAGTTGACCTCATAGAAGAACTCCTCCTCATCGTTCACAAACAGCAGCTCTTCTTTGGGTTGAGCTGGACCAGATGTGCTCTTCTTGGCTGGTTTGCAGGTTTTACTGATCATCAGGAAGAACTGGCATTTACCGCTGGGTTTATTGGTCCTTTGTGCTTCAGCCATTTCCTTCCTGTGAAACCAGACATTATATCAGCATGAACTGTTTCTCAAACTCAGATCCATCTCAAACTACTTCTGTGAATGTTTTAGGAACATGAGAAATGTGTTTGTTTGTTTAATGGTGAAACACTTCACTCATGTTTACAGGGATTCTGGGATGTGATGTGGCTCTTCTACATGTGGTGTTGTGCGCTGACCTACATTAGACACACGGTTACATAAGATCTTTATAAAGCCACGTGATGGCATTAGTGCTGGGCATCAATAACACTGACACATTCAGACGGACACAACACGACTATAGCTGAGTAACGCTTTCCTGCATCTTCCAGCAGGACGACAGCAACGAATCAAAGAAGTGACAATGGAAGTCACTGAAGAACTGGGTCTTTTTTTT